GAGGAGCTCAATGGCTCCATCAAGTAAGGGGGGACATGGCTGGGGGAGGCAGGAGGGGCCACTGCTTGCTTCAGGGTGGCCAGGCAGGGCAAGTGGCAATGCCAGGGGAGCAGCAGGACACAGCAGGTCTCCCGAGCACCTCCCATGTCCCTCCTCAAACCCTGGTCGGGGCTGATGCTGAGGCAGTACCGTGTGGGACCGGAGTGCAGGGACCTACAGCCATCCTGGGGAGGGGGGCACTGCCTGCCAGCCCCTGCTGAGAGCTCAGGTGCTTCTGGAGCCTCTCAGGTCCAGAGGCAGCCCCCATGGCTCCCAGCCTCTGGAACATACCCCATGGCCTGTGCCCCACAGCCTGTGCCAGGAGCAGCTGCCAGCCACGGGGGTGCCCATCACACGCCAGCGCTTTGACCAGATGCGCAGCATGTTCGACGAGTACGTCCGCTCCTCCACCCTACAGAACTGGAAGTTCTGGATTGTATCCTTTGGAGCCAGTGCCTGGATGCTCTCTCTTACCCCTCCACCAGATACCACATCCTCTGGTTCATCCGCTGCTCCTGTGTCTGTGGGGTCTCTCCGGCTCGAGAGGTTCTGGGGACCATGGGGAGATGTTTTCCAGTTGAGGGCACACAGTGGGAACATGCTGAGGTGCTGTGGTTAGGAGGAATCACAAGGGAGCAAAAAGAGTAGGAATAAATGGTTTGTCCTCAGGGAGAAAGAAACTGGAGCTGAGCTCATGTAGGGAATTGCTCTTGGTGAGATGGGAGCTGGATCTGAGAGGCAGCAGCCATTAGCTAGGGATTAGGAAAGGTCCAGACACAAAGCTGGGGACATGATAACTTGGTCTTAGTGGCCACATGACACACACTGGAAACTCCAGGATGGAAAAGACTAAGGACCAGGAAACCTGTGGGCAAAGGGCTGGATCTGCTCCTTTGTGAGCAGGGATTAAACACACTGAGACCATTATGCCTGCAGAGACTGTGATACCTATGAAATCCCAAGTGGTAGAGGGATGGACAGGCACTGCTGCTCATGGTCCCATCCTGCAAGGCAGAGGTGGCTCCTGACACAGAGCTGGGGAGCTCAGGACATGGGGGATTCTGAAGCCTGCACAGGCTCCAGGACACACTCGTGGTGGAGGTATCTGTGTGGATAACTGCATGCACAAAATCACAAGTCTCAGATTCTGGTCGTCATATCAAAATCCCTGGTCCCTGCAAGCTGGGAGCACCAGCCTGAACACACTGGTGTCCTGCCCTGCTCCTGGGCACTTTGCTAGCTGGCTCCCCAGTCTGCTCTGGAAGAGCTGTTGTGTGTCTCAGTAACCTTCTCTGGCAGCCCCAGTCATTACAGGAGCTGCACAGCTCTCCCATTGCCTGCCCAGGGGACACGGAGGTCCCCATCACCCCCGCAGTTTTGGCTGGCGCCCAGTGTGGTGCTGAGCTGGGAAGGCACCCAGCAGGTCTGCTCCATGGTCCTTCCAGCTGCCCAGCAGGTCTGCTTCATGATCTGTCCTGCTGCCCTAGCAGTTCTGCCCCAGCAGTTCTGCCCCATGGCTGGGCAAGGCTGTCTGTCCTGCTGCTGCACACCTGCCCACACCTGCCAGGTGGGAGACCGTGGTTGTGGCAAGGCTGGTCCTTAACTGCTCTGCTCCCACCAGTTCAGTGTCATCATGCGGCCCCTCTTCGAGTCTTTCAATGGCATGGTGTCCACAGCCAGCATGGAGAGCCTCACCCAGACATCCCTCGCCTGGCTGGACCAGCACTGCTCCCTCCCAGCGCTTCGGCCGAGTAGGTGGCCCTGTGCCTGGCTGTGGCACCCAGAGCAAGTCGGGCTGGCATGGGCTAAGGGAAAGTCCGAGGGGAAAAGGACAGGGGTGTCCTGGTTGGTGTTGGATGGGAGGGGAGCACCTGTGGGACATGACAGAGCTGGTGCTCGGTGCTTTCCCATTCTCCCGTCACACCCACTGCCTTGCTGCGCTTGGCGTGTCGGCAGGGCAGGCTCTGCCCTCCACACAGCCTCGCAGGGTGGGTTTCCCTTCGCCCTGTCTGCTGGGGGCTGTGGCAGGGACCTGTCACGCCGTTCCGGGGGCTGGAGCAGGGAGGGACAGCGCCGTGTCCCCCAGGCGGGTTACAGTGACCTGTCCCCTGTTCCCGCAGCCGTCCTGAG